TGGCAGTTACGTAGGTTGCTACCAAAATGCATTAATGGCAATAATTGCATTTCTCTTCCTGCAAAACAGCCCTCAGGCACACAGGACTTTCCCTGCAGAGCTGGGAGGATTTCTTCCTGGAGCATTGCTCAGGGTGTTTCAGTGATTGTGTAGCCATGGCGTCAGCACAGAGTATTGTAGAATCACAGAAGGTTTGGGCTGGAAGGGACTGTAAAGCCCATTCCAGTTCCAACCCCCCTGCCATGGGACACCTTCCACTAGACCAGGTTGGTCCAAGCCCCATTCAGCCTGGACTTGAACACTGCCAGAGAAGACACTTTGATTTCCATTTGTGTCCTTAGATTAAGCCATTCTTCAAATTTCTTACTTGTCAGATCCTATTAATTTTCTCTGTGTGCTCTTCTAGTTGCATCTCATTGCTGTTGGCAGGCACAGGTCATGCAGCACCTGCTCTTGTAAGCTGGCTGGATGCCTCTTCTATAACCATCTATTTTCAAAAACGAATCAGGTATTTTGCTTTGAAAACTAAAGTGTAACTCTCCAAGACCAGCTTTTTTTGGAGGATGGATTCAGACAGAAATGGTCTTTCTAAATTATAGGTTTAAAATTACCCTGCCATTATAGAAGAGCTTGGCAGTTCTCCAGAAAACTGAAGATGTTTGGAACCTTTTCTGCTTAAACAATAATTGCCCAGTGAAAACAGGATTTGGGGAAACATTAACTGACATCAAGCTACTCCTTTTTTTTTTTTTTGCTATAAATTATATTGACTCTGCACTGTTGCAAAATTAATTTGGATGATTTGACTGTGTAAGAATGTAGTGAAAGACTCCTTATTACCACACTCACATGTGCAGGGGAACTTCAATGCATCCAAACACATCTAAGCTTAGACAAGACTTTCCACTGACTTCAAACAACTCTTTTCTTCCACAGAGTTGTGCAGGCCATTATTAAAATCTCTTTAAGGTTCTTAACAACCAGGTGCTTCCCATTGTGTGACAGGATGGAAGCAGTTTTTGCTTCTTCAACCAAATTTCAGTATTTGGTTTGTTTCCTCCAAGCTGCCTCAAAGATAATGCAGGGAAAGAAATGAAAAACTCCAAAGTGACTCTGAAACAGTTCTCGATTCCCATGCAACTCCCTGTTGCAAGATATTGTTGAGTTTACTAGTACACTGAAATGATTTAGAAAGAAGGTTTTTAAGATATCCATGGGTGCATGTAATATATAGGTAAACAGCTGTACAGAGATTTGGGAGAACATGCTTAATACCCAGTGAGTACTGGAAGTGCCCAAGTGAATTGGAAAAGCAGACTTTCCCATGGACTGTGAGTGGTTTTTTTTATTTGGCTCAGTTTGCCTACCTAATTTATACTACAGAGAGGAAAGGCCCATATTTTCGTCTGTGTAAGAGTGTAAAAGATGGATGTTAGTGAGCAAGCCTGTCAGGCTAGTAAAAGTGAACTGTCAGGAGCTGACAATGTATGAATGGAGTTACCTTGGAGATGCAACAGAAGACCAACAACTAGACACTGAGGTTTTTAATGATTGCCTGCCAAGCAAGGCAGAATGTGTGAAAACAGTATGTCTGGACCTTGAAACAAAGAAGAGGGATGCTGGAGGAACTTGGTGGAGGAGAAGGAGGAGGAGGAGAGATGGTGTAAGGCCACACTTGAAGTTCCTCTTGTGCTCTGAGCCAGAAGGAGCTCTTTGGAAACAGTTTTTCTATGGGTGGCCTGTGTGCAGTCACTCAGCAAGCCATGGATAGGATGAAGGGAAGGGGCAGCTGTAAGGTGTTGGATTGTGCCCTGCTAAGTGTATCGATAGACTGCTTCAAGCATTCACGGACAACAAAATGACTTAAATAGCAAGAGTAAGGCATTTTGGATGATATATACCCTCAACAGCCCAACTTCCAAATAAAAGAATACATAACTTGCAGTCTTCTGAACTGAATTCTCTGTCCAGTCCCTGTATATAATGTAAACTCCCAAACACATCCTTGACTGTCTCTAGATCAGTTTGAGACGCCTGTGGCTCAGTCGAGCAAAGGTTTTCCACGTGTGCATTCAGTACCAGGTTGTCACTTTGAGTGCCATTGAATCAGCTGAGATAGGGGAAGATGACTAAGTACCTGGAGTGGTTTGCTGGTCATCAGGCCAGTGCTGGGCTCACATGTGCTCCAACAGGCTGGTCTTGTCATAGAGTCATAGAATGCTCTGAGTTGGAAGGGACCTTCAAAGGTTACCTAGTCCAACCCCCCTGCAATGAGCAGAGACATCTTCAACTAGATCAGGTTGCCCAGAATCACATCCAGCCTAGTCCTGAATGTCTCCAGGGATGGTGCATCCACCACAGTGTCCACAGTGACACAGTGAATTCAGCTCTGCACAGTGAGTTTGTGATAGGCCTATTTCTGTTTTTAAGAAAGTATTCAAAATGGATTTGTAATTGCTTCCTACCCCTCTGCCTTGAGGGTGATTTTTATTCCCCATAGCTGCAGTGTTTCTTCAGGAAAGCCTGTTTTGTGAATCTGGGAAATGTGCTGTCTCTTACGTGCGAAGCTGTAGGATTTAGAGCTTTGCAGCCCAGGCTGTTGATTGATTCCTGTCAAGGAAACTATTCAAATCTGAGACAAGTGGAGGCCTGTTTCCTCTTTCAGGCATTGAAAGGAGTGGAGTGAGACTCCCTGGATGCCTCCCCAGTGTCAGATCATACTCTGTGCTAGGTCAGCCAATGCAGGAGCTGGAACTTGTGTTTCGAGTTTCTACGCCATAAGGTTATCATCTTGTGATACCTTGTTAAGCATTGCAACCATGCACGCTGTCTTTATCATGGGTTTGGGTGGACATAAGGACTTTAATTAGAGAAAGGTCTAGCAGGTCAGTCTAGCTTGTTGATGTGATGCTACTCCTTTGATAGCACTCACCAAAGTGATTTCCATGAAAGCTCAAGAGAAAGGTTGGAAAATATTTTGCCTCACGACAGGATAACTGCAGATGTTTGCATGTAACAGCCTGCAGAGTTACAGGTGTTTGCTTGTCTGTGCCAGTGGGAGGAAGAGAGTTTGCTGTATCTGTGTACTTTCCTGCGTGTATGAGAGCATTCATGCCAGCTGGGACTTTAGACTCGGGAGTACCACTGAAGGGTGTCTGCCTGTCTGGCCATCACCATGCTGGAGCCTCATGCAGAAACTAGGACCTGACAGCTATGCTCTGCTGCACAAAACCCACCAGCAGAAATGTTGTTGGCAAATACAACTTCCAGCCATCTTCCCAACTGTTTCTCATTAGCTGTCCTAGCTGTGTCACTGCTGCTGATGGGAACTGGCCTGCACAACCTGCACTGGAAACACACTTCCCAGCACTTAGCCTGGCCAGTGGTTGTGGCTCTGCTGTTGGAAGTTCCTGGGTTGGATCTGGGTCTGTCCCTAGGAAAGGATTACAAAACAGAAGGCTCCTATCAGCCCTGTTTGTTTACGGGGGTTTTGGGAAACGGAAGCAGCATTACAGCCAGGGTCTTTCCGCTAAAGCTTGTGGATTCTCTGTAGAGAATATGTCTCCTCTGCACTGCAGTAGCACTGATTGTAGTCCATAAACAATCTGGTTATTTTGGTCTGCTCTTTGAAGAAATTCATTCAGTCTAATGGTGTTTTGAAGCGGAAAAACAGAAGTGTCTAAGAGCTTGAGTTTTGAGAAATTGGCTATTGTGCACTGGGTGGAATTCTGAGTGGGAAAGTCCTGTGGGTTTCTGCTATGCAGAGCTAGTTGTCCAGACCCTTTGCACTACCTCATGTCAGTTAAGTACTATCTAAAAACTACAGGATGGTTGCCACTAAATGCTTGTTTTCAATTGCATTTTGTAGGTTCAGGGTTGCCCAAGACACAAATAAATGTATATGCTGAATTGCTTGTATTAATTTCCATTAGCAAAGCTTTCAGAGTTTTATTAGCTCCCTATTTCACAAGTGCTTTGGATAACTTGAATAACATGATAAAAAAGCCATGCTCTCATAAGCCAGAAGGTTGTAAGACAATTGCAAAATGAAAGCTGGCCTAGGGTAAGCTCAGGAGATGCTCAGGCTGCTGAGTGTGCTGGTGTAAAGCGCAGCTGAAGGAGGCTGTGGGACTTTGTTGTAGGTGTCTATTGAGTCCATACTTGTAAAAGGAAGGGAAATCTAGAAGCAGAAGAAATAGAGAAAGAAAGAATAAGCTTGAATGCTATTCTGTCCTACATCCTGTCTATAATTCACCTGAGCTTGTGCTGGAGAGGTGTTGCACACAGCTGAAAGATGGTAAGATGGTGAATATTAGTAAGTTCCTTGGCTCCAGCACTCAAGGGCCCTGGGCTCCAGCCTGAACCCCTCCATCCCTGCCTCTGCACAGAGGATGTTACCTTCTGCTTGTGGCCAGGCTGACTCTGGTGTTGTTGCCTGCAGGGCTTTGGTCAGCACATCTGCCTGTGGAAGACCGGGGGCTCTGTGAATCTTTCCAGCACAAAACTGTAAAATTTGATTTCTCTTGGCTCTGGGGTGCTGTACACTGTGGTTTTGTTTGGCTGGTGGAAATTCTGACAGAGTGGGGCATCAGGTGCTTCATATTGTCACTCAGGAGAGATTTGCTTTCTCATGATTACTTGTTTACTTACTTTAATTCAGATGGTGGTTTTGGACACAGAGACTGCCTGACCCCATGTTTGTGAAAGTCCATTGATGGACTGATCTCTGTTTATGAAAAGCTGAGGATCCCATCTGAAGGTGTGATAAGTACACTAAATTTTGCAGGGATTCTGGCTGGGAGGAGATGCTCTTGTCCTTCTTGCCAGGTTGTCTGCATTGGGAACAGAGTGGTTAATCCCATAAATGTGCAGGGAACAGCATTATTCTCTTCTGTTCTCCACATGGAGATGGCCACTGCAGGTCTCATGGGGAGGATGACTGAAGTGCTGAGGGAAGGACCTCATGTGGAACCCCTGACCAGACTTATGTCCCCTTCCAGAGATGCTCTTGGTGCTGCCAGCGTGCTTTATAACCGAGTTGATGAGGGCGTTCACCGGCTGGTGATGCTGTCAAACAAACGCATCCAGGAACTGGAGCTGGTGATGGAGTTCGAGAAAGTAGAAGAGTGTTTTAAGGAGGTAAGGCCTGTCTGACAGTTCTGGTGACTGCCTGCTGCCACCCTCTGACTGTGCATTCCACAGCAGGTACTGGGCCTATTGGTCTCCTGTGTGAGGGTGTAAAATGAAGCCTGTAGGCCATGAAAAATAACAACTGATGGTGGAGTTGCACAGTCTCCTTTACTGAAACTCTTCAACAAGAAGTTTTATGTCTCACTACCCTGTGTGTGTGTGTGTGTTAAGAGTTGTGTGCTGTCTGTCACCGTAGGAACCTGCATCCAAGATCAGTACTAGGACCAGTTTTACCATTGCTCTTCCAGCATTGTGGGCTCTTCTCCTCTGAAGAGAACTGGATTTGCAAAGGAGGCTGTAGCTTACCTGTTGTTTTCACAGGCCAAGGTGGATCCAAGAGATTTAATGACCTCCCATTTGGAGGTAGACACGTGGACGCCATGCATTATGTGTTCAGGACAAGAGGTGTGATGCAAGAACCTAGTAAAGACTTGCTTAAGCACACAGGTTCCTAATACCAAACAGAAATGAAAAAAAGGCACAAAGGCAGGCTCTGCAACCTGTCCCTGCTTTAACCTGAACTACTTCTGATGGAATTGAGCAAACCTGACTGCTACCAGCTTTCTCTGCTTGTGGATCACCAGTGATGGCAGCAGTTGCTCCTGCTTTTAGGCCTGCCTAGGAGCTCTAGAGGGGCTGTGCCCCTCTCCATATCAGTCACAAGCTGGGAACCTACCCCCATGTCCTCCTCTTGCTGGTGGGCTTGTCCATGGGCATGGACTTCCTCACAGTCCACAAGACTCAGTTTATCCTTGATTGTGGGGTTGAGTTGGGATACGGATTCAGATAATGGAGGAAAACAGGATGCATGGACATTAGGAAACATTTATTCTGTCCCTTCCCCCAGGTGCAGCTCTGCCTGAAGCATTGCAGACAAGTTTACTAGCCTGTTTTTAAACCCACAGTGGATGGAAATGCTCTGTTATCCTGTCTGGCCTCCTGTGTCTGCTTTCTTTTTAGGACACTCTTGTCAGTAGGTTCTCTACCCATGTTTGAGGATACAGGCTTATAACTGCAGCCATGGCTGGGCTCTGTTGAGGCACCTGCAGTTACTGAACAGCTCTGTGGTTAGCAGCCTTCAGAAAGCCAGTAGCTGTGAGTCCCAAAGGACCATAGAATGCTGCAGAGAGGGAGAGCCATCAGTACACTCACAATGATGTAGTTCCTGTCCTGCCAGTCAAAGAAGAGAAGTGAAGTAGGAAACCTGGCAGCAGGGAGATTTTGTCCCATTTGGGGGTAACAATAAGGGGAATATCAGGCCAGCCTGAAGGTTGCAGGGCTTGCATTAGATTGTGGCTCACCCAAAACAGAGCCCAAGCAACTACTTGCCGTGTTTATGCCTAAAGCTAGTGAGCAATAGCAGACCTTTGCAATTACTCAGGAACCTGAAGGGGAAAAAATCCTAGCAGGAGGCTCAGTCTGAAATGTCAGGTTGGGAGGAGAAGTGTACACGCACATTCTTTCCGGTCATAAAATGACCAGCGTTATAAGAGCAGTTCCTTGCTCTTTCCACACAAAGGCTACCTTGGTGAGTAGCACAGGGAGACTAATAGTGGAGCTTTCCCCTTTTCTCCTAGGTCAGCAGTTGGATCGAGAATGTTGGCAGAAAACGGTTAAAGGAAACAATCAACCTGGATGATTCTTTGGAGATGCTGCTTCAAGCACAGAAGCAGTTCAGGGAGTTTGATCTTGTTGCCAGTGTAAGTGTTGTTGGATTGGAAAAATATACTCTCCAGAGACTGAGTTGGGAGCATTGTGTGTGCTCAGCCAAAGCCATGATGCTAAGGTGGCACTGGCAAAGGGTGCATCATCAAGGTGCGTGTCATTCCTTGCACTGCTTAGCTTCACTGCTCTTCTGCTGTAGACAAAATCACCAGCTCAATGCCTTAGTGGATGGAATTTGCCAGTCTTGAGGAAAATAACTACTATGATGGAAGATGGATTTTTTTTTTGTAACTCCCTTGATGTGCTTGTAACACTGCTTTTTCTTTTTGATCGTAATTGACCTGGACATTGCTGTGTAGGCCTTTACAAGCTGCTGTGTGGCTACTATAAATCATAAAAGAGGTCAGGGCTCCAGAATTCTGCTGTAAACAAGTACACTCCTGCTTGTGTGATTTTGAACCTTAAAAACCAGTCTAATTAGCCCTAGTTATTAATGACCTTGAAGATTTTCTGCTGTCCGTGTCAAGGCTCTATCCTCATACACAAAATCCCATTTGCTTTCAGGAATATTGCAGAAGGGGGCAGGAAGCACTAAAGACGATGGATGGCTGGGAAGACTTTTCCTCTGTGGATGTGCATTCCTACAGGGTGAAGCTGCAGACCTACAGAGATCAACTGGAGGAGTTCTGCACTCAACTGGATGAAAATAGGCACCAAATCTGTGAGACAGTCAGGCTGTATGAGTTCTTTGACAAGGTAAGACAATGCATCTGCTGAATGCAGGAGAGTGTAAAAGCCTGCTCGGACTCAGTCCAGAGTTTGGCTGTTTATGAAAGGTGTGAACAGTGTGTGCAGCACCAGGGAACTGGATCTATGACCTACAAAAGCCCCCTATGCTCATGTGTCTGCAGTGATTATTTTCAAGTCAGGAAGTGGAAGAAGGGGTGGGTGTGTATTGAAGAAAGTCCCCATCAGTTCAGAATAGAGGTCTTCTGCTGCTTGTGCTGCAACTTTTAGGCCCCTCTCACGGCTGCAGTGGACAGAAAGATCATGGTAGTGCCGGCTCTAATGATAAAGGCCAAGAGATTGGCTGCCTATGTCCACTCTTGGCCACTGTGCCAGGGTAGGCTGCCTGCATTTTGCTCATACTACATCCTTACACCCTGGTAACAGCCTACTGACTTATCAGGAGTAGCACCCTGCTACTCAGCCCTAAATATAGCTCAGTTCCTCTCCTGTGGAGGCCTGTGTAAGAAAATAGAGCACCAGAATGGGGCTTGTGGGGGGTGGCTGAGGAAATAAGGGGACTGGGCTGGCTCAGGCATCTGGGAAGCAGGAGAGGGTGTGTGTGGTGACTGTGCTGAGTGCCTGACTTTCTTACCTGTTTGGGTTAATACAAACACACCCATTCAGCAGACCTGCACCTGGATTTGGTGTCCTTCAGTTTCTGAAGTTGCAGATGAATAAACAGTAGGATTTTTGAAGTGCATTTTAAAATACAGCTTTGGCAAGCATAGAAGGCCAGGGAGCCTGTGCTCCATTTATTGCACACTTGTACAAACATTGGGTATTGAAGTTCTCAAATTCCACAAAGAATAGACACTAAAAGTTAAGCTGTACCAGATGTAGGTGCCACTTAGTTGCTGCCTCTGAGCTGTTTTGGCTGCCAGAAGTGCTCAGGGGAGGGGGGAGGAAATTCAGCTAGACATGAAGACATCAAGAAGCATTCTGTGTGAGGGAGGAGAGTGGAGAAGACAGCCCAGAACATTATTGCTGTCAGGACATGGGAGGATTCAGTTGTTTTGGGAATGCTCTGCAGGCCCACTCTAGCTCATCTGTGCAGTTTGCCGTGCAGGTGGGGGAGCCTCCTGTGGGAATCTGTAAGTTTTTAATTTTTTTCCCCTCCAATGGAGAGGAAAGTACCTCCTGTGCTGTAGGAGAACAGTGCTTGAGCACAGACATTCAGGGGCTGCTGTAATCCCTGAAACACCCTTTGCCATCATGGGGATCCAGGGAAGGATCCCAGAAAGGGTGGTTTTTGTTATGTTTCTTCTGATAACCAGAGGCACAGAAAGGTGCTAAGATGTGCTTTGGCATATTGGCAGTTCTGTCGCCAAGCCAAACATTGATCCTATAGGAAGCCACACAACCAAAGCTGGAAATCTGGAACACAAACATGGACCGTAGCACATGATGGCTACTCCATTCTCCTCTGGAGCACAGACATGGACTGCAGCACATGATGTTCTCCATTCAGGTACAGGAACTACATTGTGGTAGCAGCTCTTGCGCTAACAGGGTGGTGAGCCAGGACTCAACAGCAGTGGGTGTCCTTTCACAGCTTCAAAGCCTTCCAAAGCCAGGGCCATTTGCAAGGGCACAGGTGTTACACAGACCCCAACGGTGGCCCGTATCTTTTCTTAGGGCATCATGGCACTGCTCATACAGCTTCATTCTGGGGGATGACAACTGGAGAATGCCCTTCTTGTGGCAGCAGCACCGTCATCCCTCATGGTTGTGCCTTTTATACTGCACAGTGAAAACTGAATGATGGTGGCACAGGGTGTCTGCACAATGTGTTGGTGTGGAGGTATCTTGCTTTAGTGAGGGAGGAGGATTTTGATCTCACTGGTTTCAGTAGAACTATAAACAATGCTGGTGGTGTAAATACAACACGTATGTACCGTGAACTGGTGGCCAACTGAAATCAGGGAAGGGGGGAACATCCTGCAGCTGTAGGGTGAGTGCAGGGGCTGCTGTGCAGCATGGCAGTTCTTTCAGTAGTGGTTATTTTGATCTTGATCTCCACAACGCTTTTTGCTTCCCAAAGCAAAGTCAGTGGTGTAGTCTGGGAGGCAGAGGAAAGCAGGAGATTTTTATCTTCAGCTGCTTTCACTCTTTTCTAATGCTGAGCTGCTTTGACCTTCCTGCAGTGATCTTGTCAGCGCCTGCCTAACCCCCCGTCTCTTCCTTAATATCTGGCAGGATATCCACAGCAGGAGTCTACGCTAAGCAATGTCTTTGATTTTCCTTCTTGTAAAGAGCCTGCAGCATACTAGACCCCAGGATTTGGGGAAGGAGCCTGAGGATGAGTAAGGCATATACACTATGGTAATTAGCTGGCAAGCTCAGATCTCTCCAAACATGTCAGCATGCGCCAAGGGAGCGTAGCACCCACCACAGGAATCATCATATTCATCTCATGTACCTCACTGACTACTAGGAATGGGAGGCTCTGTTCTGCTAGCCCTTCTGCTTTGTGTGGGGGGCAGGGGTTTTGTAGCGTGCTGACATGGCCTATGGGACAGCACAGCACAACCCCATATGGTCCATCAAGGCTGTACTGCTTTTTCACTGCTTGGCAGTTCCTGATGGCCTGTCTAAGCTCCCTGTGATGAAGCAGGCTGAGCTGGGCCAGACCACATGGAGCTTGCACATTGGCTGGCAGGGTTCCCTCCCCAAAGCCATGACTGATGCCAAGCTGGATGTTTCTGTTTGTCCTGCTTCCTTTGTGGCAGGAGCTCTTGGTGCCTAATGAGGGCTGGATGGTGTCTGGGCTGAGGCAGGGGTTCTGGGGGAAGCTGCCTTCCCCATCTCTGGCAGTAGGATGAGGGTTGTTTCTCAGTACCACAGATTCAGTGCGGGCATATTCAGGGACCTGCCATCTTCCTGTGGCTTCAAGCCTGGGTTGGCCGCTGTCCTTTGCTTACTCAGTTCTAAAAGACTGTATTGGGTTCTGGCACCAGGTGTGCCACATGGTGCTTCGGAGAGAACTGGAAAGCCAGTAACACTGCCGTAGCACACCATCATTGCCAGGAGGAGCTAGAGCAAGCCCCTCTTTTCCCTGTCTGCCTTGTCAGCCTTCATGTTTTTTCCTTTCTCAAGCTTTCTTTGGGTGAAGTTATTTCCCAAGTCACTCCTCCAGCTCTGGGGCAACAAGACAAGAGGGGTGTCGAGCTGTTGGAACAAGTCCCTAGGAGGCCATGGAGATGCTGCAAGGGCTGGAGCACCTCTGCTTGGAGACACTCTGAGAGAGCTGGGCTTGTTCAGCCTGGAGAGGAGAAAGTTCCGGGAGACCTTAGAGCAGCTTCAGTGCCTAAAGGGGCTACAAGAAACTTGGAGAGGGGCTTTGGACAAGGGCCTGTAGGGACATGACAAGGGGGAATGGCTTTAACCTGACAAAGGGGACAGTGAGATGAGATCTTAGGAAGAAATCCTTCCCTGTGAGGGTGCTGAGGCCCTGGCAGAGGGAGCATAGAGAAGCTGTGGCTGCCCCATCCCTGGCAGTGTTAATACCAGCTTGGATGGGGCTTGGAGCAACCTGCACTAGTGGAAGGTGTCTCTGCCCTTAGCAAGGGATTGGAACTGGATGAGCTTTAAGGTCCCTTCTAACCCAAACCATTCCAGGATTTTGAGTCTTATAATCCAGATCTCCGCATGCTGTTGACTTTACCATCAGCAAAGTGTCTGGACCACAGGCTTGGAATGGTCCATGTGAGAGCTGTGTGCCCTGTCAGGACTGCAGCCACCTAACTCAGTGTTGTGTCTAATGTGCTGAAGCACTCAGCATGGGCTCTGCCCGCCCTGGAATGACAACCAGTGCTGCAGAAGGTCAGCAGTGAAGGCACAGAATGCTGCTGCCACAAGTCACTCGGGGAGAAGGCACTGACCCAACAGGAAAAGGCAGAGTCCCATCACCCAGTTCAGCACCTGCATCCCCTACAGCCTGCAGTCATGTGGTGCCCAGAGCCTCACGCTGAACTGCCTCTATCATTACAGCAGGGCCTGAGGCAGCTCCAGGGGCTTTTTCCTGCTTATCAGGCTGTTGTGCAAGATGTTGCCTCTTTTGGTGCTCAGGAAAAGTATGAGCATTGCTTTACACTGGCCTGGGAGCCTCTTGCAGCATAGGCTCTTGCCTTGTATTTGGTTTCTGAGGGAAGTTGTTCCGAGTCCCACTGCTCAGGACTGGTGGTGGAGTGAGGCTGGTTGAGAAATGGCAACATTTCCCTTGTTGGGATTTCTGTGGGGTCTGCTCCATGAGCCATTCCTTCAGTGGCATTCTCTGCCACCTGCAGGTCCCTTCCCTCGAAGAACCCCTGGGCACCAGCCTGTGCTAATTCTGGTTCCTCCGTAGTGATTTCCAGCTGTCCCCAGCTTCTTTCTGCTGCACACAAGTTGCTGCTGCTTCCAAGCTCCACTTAGAGCAAGCAAAATGTTGCCCAACCCCTCTCCATCTGTGTTGACATCTCTCCAGGAGTGGGTTACCTGTGCTCACAAATGGATCTGCCTCCACAGCCAATTCTCCTCTGCTCTCCTTCTCCTGCTCAGCCACTTTGTTCTTTGTGGCTTAGAAAACAAAGCCTTTGGCAAGTGAAGGAGGTGCCTGCCCCTCCTGGGGGAGGGCCAGCTGGCCTGCATTTGATTATGGCAGTGCCTCCTCATTCCTCCCTATTGTCCTTGCTGCTGTAGGAATGCCAGCCTTTTTGCACTCCATCCCGTGAACAAGTGTTGCTGCCTCTGGGGCCCAAAGAGGGGCTGGGACTCTTCTTCCCACTCCTCCAGGCCTGTCTGGCAGGAGAACCTGACCGCACATCTCCATGCACCTTTCCTCTGAGCCACATACACCCGTCCTGACTCCGGCAGCAGATGTACACAGCAAACCCTCTTGTAAGTACCAAGTGTCCAGCGCCCCGGCTGACGTGTGAGTTGTACTGTGACTGTTTGGAACAATGCAGAGAAGGCTTTTCATTCAGCTG